GGTCGATCTCTCGTCCTGGTCCTCTTCCCCCTTGCGGGTTCCGGGGGGTTCGGCTCGTCTTCCTATTATTCTCGTTCCTCCTGTTCCTCGTCTTCTCGAGCGGCTTTCTTCATCTTTTTGTTGGAAATGCCCAGTTGCTCCACTAGCAACCTCTGTTCGATTGGGGGCTTCAGGCATACCTCCTCGAGGGTGATGTATTGTCCCTCTCCGACATGATAAATGTCATTGCGGCGGAGGTTTAGGGCGTTGAAGACCATCCCACCTATGGGCTTGGCCTCGGTCTGGCCTATGTCTACCCCTTTCCTTTCCATAATCCAACTTAGGATCATCCCGTAGGGTAGGCTGAGTCGATTGCTAGACTTGTAAAACTCCATGTGTTTTAGCATAAGGGCGGGTAAGTTGAACTTGACCTTGTGTTTAAGGAAATAGGCAAAGGTGCACTCAAGGCTTCCCACATCCTTGCCTTTGTTGTTGTTGGGCAACAGACTGTCAATCACGATCATAACCAGGATTTTCTGTTCGGCGGTTAACAACTTCTTGATTGGCCTCGTGGCCGAAGTGAAATCGTCTTCTATTCCCAACAAATAACTCAGATAGTCTTTGTACCCCATGTTTTGGGCACCAATCCAAGTCTTTCTGTCATACTCTGATATGCTCGTGGAGGTTAATTTGAGGAGTTTGGACAGGCGGTTCTCGGTTAGTACTATCTCTTTACCCCGGACTTTGGAGGTGATCTCTTAGTTGTGGTACTTTATCTTTCCCCCAATTTGGAGATGATTTTTTATGTAGATGTGATGATTTATTACCCATCAAAATGTCATGGAGTTATGCTAATCGATGGAAAATATCCCAAGCTTGTCCATGTTATGGATCAAATTTTTGTATTTGTCAAAAAATTGTAATTTAAGTTGCTGTTGTTGTTTTTATTTTTTTATTTTTTTATTTTTTTAATAAAATAGAATTGAAATATTGAAATTTGATTTTTTAGAAAAACGAGAGTAGGGTTTCTTCGCTGATTACACAAGCAACTTAATTAGGCCTTTTGTCGATTTGGGAGAAAGTATTTTTGCTAAGTTTATAAGTTTTATTAAGGAATTTACTTATTTACCCATTGAATTAACTTTGTCAACACACCACTAGTTTCGGGGACCAAACTTGCCACTTCTCTCATAACCGAGGGACTAAAAATGGATACGGTAATAATACGGGGACTGAGTAGAGATGTCAACGGGGCGGGGTGGGGGCGGGGGACATACCCCCCATCCCGGCCCCGACTTTTTTCCCATTCCCCGTCCCCGACCACATCCCCACCATGGAAGGGAAAAATCCCCACATCTCCATCCCCATGGGGATTATTCGGGGACGGGGTATCCCCACCCCGTTTATAAGCATGACATACAATGGTAAGAATGGTTCTAAAATTATATCCCCACCCCATCCTCGCCCCCGTCCCCGACAGGGAATTCAAAATTACCTCTATCCCCATTCCCGATCTCCTATTTTTCTTCCCATCCCCGTCTTCGTGGCGGCAGAGAATTGGATTCCTCATCGGGTACGGGTACAATTGACATCCCTAAAACTGAGTCGTCACTACGGTTATAACTCGGGGACCAAACTCACCATTTTCCCATATATATTATTCCGATCAAACTTGATACATAGAATATAAATTATAGTATGTGTTTACTTTGATTCTCGAATTTTTCATTCTCCATCTCTATTGTTTAAAATGAAGAAATGTATAAGTAAAAGTAGTTTTGAGCATCGTTGTTATCTTTCTCAATGAAAAGTTTCAAGTTCGAGTCACATCCCAATTAAAGATGTTAACATATCATGTTGAACAGATACTATAAGTAGGATAGATTCTGTTAAAAAAAAAAAAAAAAAAAAAAAAATTTGAGTTACCTTATTCCGATTCTACCTTTAGCTCAAAAGATAGAGAATTTATTCTATTTAACAAAAGTACAGATTATACTACACCTACTGCCTCGTCTTAGTAATTACTTCATGGGTCCCTGGGGATTGAAATATGTTTTGATTTGTAAATTAACATAGCATAAAGACATGAAGTTAAAGTTTTGCAATAAAGTCTATTGAAAGTTATCAATGACTTTGTGGTCAAATGGTACCAAGTTACTTTTATATACAAGAGTTGTGAGTTCGAGCTTCAGTGGAGGTGGTATTGACTCTTTGTGTTTTAGTATGTTGAGAAAGTAGTTATGAACAGATACTGCATTGTAACAGTGAGCTAAGCCTGTGCGGGCAAATGATGTTTACTATACCAAACCAAAATTTACAATTGAGTTAATTTCATTTTTGTCATGAATTTATAGGTAACATTTCATTTTTAGTCATTTTCTTTCTAAACATTCCAGGTTTGTCCTAGTATTATTGTGGTTAGATCATTTTTTGTCGTTCGTCAACAAACCTATTTAAATATCGTTAAATATGAGACTATTTTAGTCTATTCAGTTCTAAGTATTAATTTCATTTTGAGTTAATCACCATTTTGGTCCTTCAATATTTCCCAAGTATCAATGTAGTCTCTAATTTTCAATTTCAACCAATTTGATATTTGAATTGTTTAAAATTTCATCAATTAAACCCTTTTAGGGATCAAAATGGTGATTTTCATATTTTTAAAATTTCATCAATTTGGTCCCTGAAATGATCTAATTGACGAAATTTTAAACAATTTGATGATCAAATTGGTTGAAATTGAAAACTAAGGACTACACTGAACAGTAAAGAAATAATTGTGGGACCAAAATGTTGGGGGCCGTTTACTAACTGGAAATTTCTGGGAATTTCTGAAAACTGAAAAACAGAAAACAAAAACATGTTTACTAACACAGTTTCCATTTTCAAAACTGAAAATAATTTATGAAAATTTCTGGAAAACTGAAACACACTTAAAAACTGTTTTCAAAATAGAAAACAGAATCATCTATCATCTATTTAGTTATATGTCACTATAACCACATTACTATGATTACATTCATTATCATCTTATTTTACTTATCACTATATTATATCTTTTCTACTTACTTTAGTTATTTAAACATAATTTATTTGCTTACACTTTTAAGTTAGACATTATTTACATTATCAAAATTAAGAATTAAACTCTATATAATGTTTTAGATTTTGATTGAACTCAATATATTATTAGTTTGAATATTTTTAATTATGTTACATCATAATGCAAGTTTGGTCTAGATATCGGATATTGAAATCTCACATATATTAGAATTCAAAGTAAAAGTTATATATTCATATACATGTCATTCAAATGAATATATCCAAAATATATATATATATATATATATATATATATATATATATATATATATATATATATATATATATATATATATATATATATTTTAAATATTAGCTCAAAAATATTAATATTATCTAAACTAAATTTTAGGTGAAAACTAAAAAATTAGAAAACAAAAAACAGAGAACAGTTTATGTTAGTAAACAAGTTTTCTAAACAGAAAACAGAGAATTGAAAACAGAGAATGAAAACTGAAAAATTAGAAAATGAAAACAGAGAACAGTTTTCTTTTAGTAAACGGACCCTTGATTTCCCATTTCTTTTTAGTCATAAATTTATATATGTCATTCCACTGCTGCGGAGACTCAGGTTGTGGAGGCTCTGCCGTGAATATGTGGATTGCAATTGAAGAAAATAGGGAACTCTAGCCGTGAATTAGGGATTTTTTTAAAAAATTAAAAATAAAAATATAACATATTAACATACGTTGTATAAAAAGATCGAAATGCTCTCGTATTTAACATCATTCAAACATGTTAGTTAATAAGGGGCCAAAAATGGTCTATGCCACAATAATATAATACTTGGACTAATATGGAATGTTTTGAAAAAAAAAAAAAAAAAAAAAAAAAAAAAAAAAAGACTAAAGTAGAATGACACATATAAATCTAGGACAAAAATGAAATTAACTCTTTACAACTCACCAAACGAAAGTATTAAAAATGTTAAAAACTTTATGGTTGAATTAGAATGTACGAGTTTGATTTAATTAAAAAGGAAGAGTAATTTTATAATGCCGTAAATTATAATGTTATGTTTTGTAAAATTGTATTAAAAAAAAAAAAACTTTTTTAGAGATATATATAAGGTAGAATATAACTTTACAAAGCAGATGTCATAATGCACTTCAAAAGTATAAACTACATTCATGACATTGTAAAATTTTCTTTAAATAGAGTTATTGTTTGGTTAAATACACATATATCATATAATCAGATTTCATTTCAGTTACTTTTTATTGACGGCTAAGTAAAAAGATTAATTTTTTATTAAAATTCATCTCAAAACTAAACATTTGATTTGATTATCTAATTATGATTTCAATGTTTGAATAAAATACAGTCTATATGAATAAGGATGACAACAAGTAGGACACTCGCAAGTTAAGCCATTATTAAATCCGAACCCAATTAGCTATAGAATTGTCCGAATTCGTTCCACACATGTTTACAGTATCGCAAATATTTGAACGCATCAAGAAATAAGATTAATATATTAAAGAAAGGTATTCTTTTCTCTACCGAAATCTGAGTAGTCACTACATGAAAATATCAACCCGTTGCAATCAGTACATATGAATTCTTATCTTATTATACTCGATATCATTTTAACATGTTAATTAATAATTAATTTTAGAAATGAATCCAATAATTTACTTTTAAAATATTCTATTAATCAATTACAGATCACGTGACAAAAGTATATATTTTCGAGAGATTAGTAGGCATTCTTCCGTTAAAAACAATGGTGGACCAAAGTTTATACTTTACCAATTAGCGTTTAGCAGAGAATAGCTTTTTTTTTTTTTTCCTCTCCCTCTCCACCTTTTCTTCCCACCCTTTCCCAATTGTCTTTTTCATTTTTATATTGTCTCAAGAACCCAACATCTCTTTTTTCATCAAAAGGGAAAAAGAAAAAAGAAAAAAGAAAAACAAAATTGAAAAAGCCCCACAAGGCCACAAATACTGTCACTCCGCTGCTCTCTCTCTCTCTCTCTCTCTCTCTCTCTCACTCACTCCCTTTTTCCCACTTGAGGCATGAAGAGGCAGCTCATAGTGAGCTAGGGCTTTCACTGTTCATTCACTAGCTCCCTGTAATGCAAATCTTGAATCTTCATTGGTACTGAGATTCATACGTTTTCTTGCATTTTTCCCAACACCAAAAAAACGAGAATGTCAGCCATGGCTAGAATTGGGTTAACAACGCCTCTGTTTCTCGCTCTTCTGCTGCTGCTTTCTGGGTGTCTGTCTTCTGCATCAGCTTCACCTTCGCCTTCAAGTAAGCATTGCATCTGTCCATGCGTGTGTAATGAGAAACATTCGTGTGTGTCTCTGTTAAATGGGTTTGTGGTTTTAGGAGCTTCTGCCATTTGATCTTGCTGTGGGGGTTGTCTTCATTTTATGTCTATTCATGTTTTTTCTTGATTTGGGTACAGAAATTGTGAATGGGGTTTTGTCGAATGCTGTGTCTAAGCTGGTGAAATGGGCGTGGTCTCTCAAAGCTACTACTAAAACAGGTAGATCCACCTACCCAATCTCTCATTGACATTATCTATTGTTTTTAGTTTTTAATTTTGGGTTTCAAAATTCCTTTTTTTTTCTTTTTTTTTTCTTTTTTCCCTAAATGGGTATGTTGGGGGAGAGGGGGTTGGTGTAATGTGGTTCATGTGATTTATGGTGTGTGCAGTGGTTTCTGGGCGTCCAATGATGAAGTTTGAGAGTGGGTATAGTGTGGAAACAGTTTTTGATGGAAGCAAGCTTGGGATTGAGCCTCACACTGTGGAGGTCTTGCCCAGTGGGGAGCTCCTCATTTTGGACTCTGCTAACAGTAATCTTTACAAGATCTCTTCTGCATTGTCTCAATGTAAGTGTGTGGTTTTTTATGGAATGGCCTTGAATTTTAGGTCTTGTGTAGTTTAATCTTTTTCCCATTGCCAGGAACTTGTAGGATTGTCTTTGATTTGCCCAAATCATTAGCTCAGCTTGACAGAGGATTGAATTTTAGCCTGTGGGATTTTGCCTAGTGTTGGGCGGAGGCCAATGAAAGGTTGTTGGGCAGAGGCCCGAAGGGCTAAGTCCAGCACCGTAGGGGAATTGTTGGGCAGAGGCCAATGAAAGGCCAAGTCCAGCACCAGATGACTAGAAGATTGTTGGGCAAAGGCCTGAAGGGCTAAGTCTAGCACCCTGTCTAAATAAAGTTGCCTAGGGGAATTGTTGGGCGGAGGTCGGTGAATGGCCAAGTCCAACAGCAGGCGGCTAGGGGATCATTGGGCGGAGATCGGTCAATGGCTAAGTCCAGCACCAAGTGGTTAGGGGATCGTTGAGCGGAGGTCGGTGAATGGCCAAGTCCAACACCAGGTGGCTAGGGGATCGTTGGGCGGAGGTCGGAGGTCGGTGAATGGCCAAGTCCAACACCAGGTGGCTAGGGGATCGTTGGGCGGAGGCCTGAAGGGCCAAGTTCAGCACCTTGCCTCGCACTTGGTCATAACAAGTGGTATCAGCCCTAAGTCACAGGGCAGGGTAAAAAATGTGGTGGCTTGATCCTAACACCTAGTTTTGGCGCCTTGTGTCATGCCCCAATTTTAACATTTCATAGTTTATCAAATATTCCAGATTCTGTTAAGACGTGAAATGTCACAATGAGCTTCGAGATATGCCAAGGGTTCAAAACCCAAGTACTTGTGATATCTCCGCTCTTCATTATGTAATGCTCTGATCTATCTTTTTGCTAGTCTAGAAGCTGGCATTTTACTCTCACTACTGCAACCTTCTCCATTATTGCTGATGTGAAATGTTTGTTCAAGTTCCTTTTCTGATAAGTTTTGCGATGATTATTAGCCTTTTTAATATATCCCCCTATGCATTTCTGCAGACACCCGACCAAGGTTGGTTGCTGGTTCAGCGGATGGATACTCTGGACATGTGGATGGTAAAACCCGGGAAGCAAGGATGAACCATCCCAAGGGGCTTACAGTTGATGATAAAGGGAATATTTACATTGCGGACACTGATAATATGGCAATCAGGAAGATAAGTGAAACAGGTAATTCGTTAGTTTTTACTTAGGTAATGCAGAAGAATGTTCTTTTCCCTAATAAGTCATATGAAGAAATGGAACCGTTTTAGACCGAGTAGTGATTATGTGGCAAGTGGCAAGTGGAAAGCTCTTGAGCACGGGATCTTTCTTTAGTTACTTTGAGACTTTCAAAGTGGCAAGTTTTTATATAATGAAATGAAATTTCCTTGTCCAGGAGTGACAACAATTGCGGGAGGCAAATGGAACCGTGGAGGTGGGCATGTTGATGGACCGAGTGAAGATGCAAAATTCTCTACCGACTTTGATGTAGTCTATATCGGAAGCAGTTGCTCTCTCCTCGTCATAGACAGAGGGAATAAAGCAATCCGAGAGATCCAACTTCATTTTGATGACTGTGCTTATCAGTATGGAAGCGGCTTTCCTCTAGGTGAAAATTTTATCTTCTTCTCGATCTGTTCAAAACATTTAATTGAAAGCATATTTTTGTTTACACGTGAACTTGACTGCAGGGATTGCAGTACTTTTAGCAGCCGGCTTCTTTGGTTACATGCTAGCATTGCTCCAACGTAGGGTAGGAACCATGGTATCTTCTGAAAATGTGAGTGCCAAATCCTCTCTTTCTCGTTAAAAAAAGAAGAAAAATTGTTAGGCGGAGGCCGGTGAAGGGTTAAGTCCAACACCAGGTGACTAGGGATTGTTGGGCAGAGGCCTGAAGGGGCAACTTGCGGGTCTTTGTGGGCCAGGCCCGTTAGGCCCGCTCTTTCACAGGCCATATTTTTGTAGCGCTAACCTGCCCCACCGCGGGGGGAGGTGTGGGCCGGCCTGCAGGCTTCGGCCCACTTTGACAGTACTAGGGCCTAGGGGCAAGTCCAGCACCAAGTGACTCGGGATTGTTGGACAGAGGCTTAAAAGGCCAGTCCAGCACCATGTGACTAGGGATTGTTGGGCGGAGGTTTGAAGGGCCAAGTCTAGCATCCTGCCCTCTCGAAAATGTAGCGGTATAAGGAAATAAAGTTGTGTCTTTGCTAGGAGCTATAGCTTAAAACGACTGTAATTCCGTATGAGAAGCTACTCTTTACTAAGTCTATCTTCTCGTCGTTTTTGTCCTGAAGGATGAGAAAACGGCGGTTTCTTCTAATCCGTATGAGAAACCACTCATGTCATCAGTAATGCCGCCCCTAATTCCACCTGATAATGCTGAAGAGAAGCAAGAAGAAAGCTTCTTTGGATCTTTGGGAAAGCTGCTGGCTCAGGCGGGAGAATCCTTCACTACTATCTTGGGAGGCGTATTCCCCGCAATCAAAAGGAAGCATAAGTATCAACAGCAACAGACGCAGCAGCAGCAGGACTACTACCAGTTCCAGCAACAGCTGAAGTACTCGAATACGTGGCCCGCTCAGGACAGCTATGTAATATCAGAGAAAGACGAACCCCCTTCCATTGACATGAGATCCCCGACGCCTCAAAAGACCTATGCATTCATGTCCAAGGATTCTGAGAAAATGCAAAAGCTCCGACAAAGCCGTGCCTTTTACAGTGAGTGGGGCTCGGACTTCCAGCAACAACAACAGCAGCAGCAGCAAACTCAGAAGCATCTGAATCACCACCGGTACCATTCAGCTGCCCCGCAGACTGTTTACGAGCAGAGCCCCGAGAAAACAAACGAGGTTGTGTTCGGGGCAGTTCAGGAGCAGGAGGGGCAAAATGGCACAATGGTCATAAAGCCTTTGGAACACGCAACGCAGGGTTACAACCATCAAAACCATATTCGTGCTCGGTTCAACGCCATGGGGTACACTTACGGGCAGTAGTCGTCGTATTATAGGTACATAGAAGTTTTGGGTGTTTCAGAAATATCTGCTTCTTGAATCTTGATGATGATGGATGAGTCCTCCTGAGTAAAAAAAAAAAAAAAAAAGCATATGAGAGATGTATAGAGCAGAAGATATGTTAGGGAAGCAAGTAAGTCCATATTCTGAGTGAGTGGTCTATGAGTATGAGACACAAAAAACAGGTGTTCATCAAACTCTCATTGAAATATGAATATGTAGTAGTGTGTTTGGCCCGGAAATCCCGAACTGCGTTAAAAGTCTCTGTGTTACCATTATAGTGGGAACTCTCGAATTGCGTTAAAAGCCTCTGTGTTACCATTATAGTGGGAACTCTCGAACTACATTAAAATTAAAGCCTCTATGTTACCATTACAGTGGGAACTCCCGAACTGCGTTAAAAGTCTCCGTGTTACCATTATAGTGGGAATTCTCGAACTGCGTTAAAAGTCTCTGTGTTACCATTACAGTGGGAACTCCCGAACTGTGTTAAAAGTCTTTGTGTTACCATATAGTGGGAACTCTCGAACTGTGTTAAAAGCCTCTGTGTTACCATTACAGTGGGAACTCTTGAACTGTGTTAAAAGTCTCTGTGTTACCATTACAATGGAAACTCTCGAACTGCGTTAAAAGCCTTTGTGTTACCATTACAGTGGGAACTCCCAAACTCTGTTTAAAGTTTATGTGTTACCATTACAGTGGGAACTCTCGAACTGCGTTAAAAGCCTCTGTGTTACAATTAAGGTTTCCAACATCACCCAAACACAATCCTCAAATTTTCATAGTGGATTGTCTCCAATGATGTTCCAAATCCCAAAGGAATTTCATTAATCCCTCCCAATTCCCATGTGTATTTTTATGTCCCAGAAACCAGACATGCAAATTCTTGTGTGGATCGTAGTTTACACAGTGTTGCGTGTAGCATAATAAAAAATACATTTTTAATATATTAAAAATACATTATTCGTGTATTGAATGTACATTATACAAAATAATATATTTATTCTGAATACAATGTACATTTAATATGCTAAAAGTATATTATTTGTGTACTAAATATATATTATTTGATAATATGATTTACATAAATGATTTAACCAGACAACATCCTCTCAATTATTGTCGTATGCAGGACAACCGCAATTAGTGTTCTGTGGGTCGTACTCAACCAACTTGATGTGCCCACTATTTTAGTCGGCAAACTATTTTCTTTTTAATCTATGAAAAATATTTGTTTAAATGTAATAAATATTGTTTCATAAAATGTTTTTTTTAATGTAATAAATATTGCTTCATAAAATGTTTTTGGGATAAGGGTCAAATAAGCCCTTAAACTATACTCATTTGTGCAATTAGGCCCTTTAACTCTAAAAAGTTTCAATTAGAACCTCAAACTTACCAAAAAAGTGCAATTAGCATTATTTGCAGGTTACTTTCAAGTTAAAAGGTCAACTCTTGGTGATTGGATTTTTCAAGCTGATTTGGCGAGCTGACGTGGCTTTCACATTTTTTTAAAAATAATATATTATATTAAATTTAATTTTTAATAAATATTAATAATCATATATTAAAAATTTAAAAAACAGTTATGCTAGCCCAAACAGTCGGAGCCCACAGCCACCCTATTGACATCGTCAAGCACCGCCGTCGCTGCTGTCACGCACCATCGCCAACTTTCAGTCCATACCCTCCATATCTATTACATCCCCTGATGCTGGGTAGTCTCGTCCCTTGAACTCCATCTTTGGGCCTCTGCCATCCAGAACGGAGCTCGAAAAAGCCATGTCCGATCTCCGGTGGTAATATTATTATAGCTTTAAACCAATTGAAATTTTGTCGGATTTCAATACATCAAAGTAAGTTCTTGGTAGTACCATGCGGTGTCTGTTTGCTCAATTCAGTTGCTGTAAATGAAGTATAGAAACCAAATTGGATTGAATCCTAAGTTGCAGAAACCTCAAACTAATCTATTAATTTCAATTCCATGGTTGGGTTCCTTCTGATTTTTATTTTTAATTTATTATTATTATTATTATTATTAATTAATTAAAAATTTAAAATTAAATTTAATATATATTTTTTGGAAATAAAACTAAATTTAATATAATATATTATTTTTTTAATAAAAAAAAAAAAAGTGAAAGCCACGTCAGCTCGCTAAATCAGCTTGAAAAATCCAATCATCAAGAGTTGACCTTATAACTTGAAAGTAACCTGCAAATAATGTTAATTGCACTTTTTTGGTAAGTTTGAGGTTCTACTTGGAGCTTTTTGGAGTTGAAGGGGCTAATTGCACAAATGAGTATAATTTAAGGGCTTATTTGACCATTATCCCAATGTTTATATATATATATATATATATATATATATATATATATATATATATATATATATATATATATATATATATATATTTTTCTGGGGGTCCAGGAGATAAGAATTAAAGACCGTATTGTTCAGTGCTCGACTCAATTACCTAAAAAAAATGTATATATAGTTTATTAGTAAAAGTTAATTTTAACTTTATTAACCGTCTAACAAATATCAAACCTCATTTTAAAAGGCAAAGTAAAGAGTAAAGACTACCACACTTTGCAAGAATTGCAATCTCCCATCCTGAGATTAGTATTAGTGGTTGATCACTTACCTCAAGTTATGGTTGGAGACGGTAGGATAGGGGCTCGAACCTCACTTCAAATATCATTGGAGTTGGGCTCCCCAAGTTGGAGTAGGGTATGGGCTGGGCTCCTTGTATGTACAATAAGGTGGGGTCTGACTAAAAGAATGTTCATGCCAGGGCAAGGTCGTCAGGGTGACCGGTGGTGTACTACTGACCATGGCGCTAGTCGTGTGGCGCCTGGCACGGCGATGGCGGCCAATCATGATTGTGTGGAGCTCGATATTATCCCCTACTCAATTGACGAACAAATCTTTCTAACAAACAGAGCATCAAGAATGTCATACATTCGAGCATTGGTGTTTCAGCTCACATGCATTTTCACCTCCCCTAAGGATCATTATACATACAAAGCTCAAATCTTTATTTTTTTTTATTATTTATTTATTTATTTTTGATGAGGTAACCTGAAATGAAATAATCATGTAACACTTATTACTTATAATCATGGTTGAAATCGTGTTAAATCATACATAAAGAGTAAAGCGGGATAATTTTTTTTATCATAAACAATTTTATGATATGTAGTCACTATATTAATCTTCAGCCAATTTGGAGTCAAGTTGTTATGAAATTTTATTCAAATAATTTTTTTTTAAACACTTATTATATTTTACTAAGAGCATTAAACTCAAAATCTAGGTCGGGGAAAATTAAAGGACTAAATTAAAGAAAGTGAAATTGATGAGACATTGGCATTGGCAGTGAAAGACAAGAGGCATTGTTTGACCATAAATGGATGCTATTGTTTTATTTTATCATAATTTCTATAATGCCATACACCATATACAACACCACCAAGAATGTCTGTAGCTAATAAGAGATGGAATCCGCGCACGTGTCCACGTCACTGTACAACGGTAAATCCATTATTCCCTTCACTTTTTTCTTTTTTTTTTTTTTTAAATAAATACAAAGTGGTGTTTGGTTGGAAGGAAGGAATTAGGGGGGAAATGAATTGTAATTCGGTGTAGAAAGAATAAGGTGGGAATAAAGTAAGAATTCAAATTACATTGTTTGGTATACAGGTAAGAATAAAGTAGGAATTCAAATTATAGTGTTTGGTATGCAGTAATAAAACATGTAATTGAAAAGGAATAAGTGATACAATGACTAAAATACCCTTATGTAATAATAATAATAATAATAATAATAATAATAATAATAATAATAATAATAATAATAATAATGTTGTTAAAATGTTTGGTCCCCTCCCTACAATCGTTGGAATGTTGGATGCTCTCCTTTGTTGCTTCTGATTTTGCATCTTCAACAAAGAGAGAAACGGAAAGAATGGCGTATAGAGATGAGAATGAGAGGGGATATAGCTAATAAGACAAAATAATTAGAGGGTAAAATTGTCTTTAAATTATCTTTTTTCTCCCTTCAAATCACTGAATTGCAATTCTTGAGGTGGGGTCTGAATTGCAATTTAGCATTTGGAGGGAATTGTAATTCGGTGGAATTGCAATTCCCTCCAACCAAACGGCGTAATTGGATCTTCCACGAAATTGTAATTCAATTACACTCAAATTACATCCAATCAAACACTCCCAATAAATTATTCGTATGATGTACGGATAAATTATTTTTTATTATACATTTACATAATAAAATTAAGGATAAAATTATAAACAATTTTAATATTTAAAAGTATACAATGGCGGTCACAGATTTTAATTAGGCCTATAATGGGTAGAAAAAATGGCGGTCACAGATTTTAATCAAATGTATGGCTCAGATTGATTAAAAGATTGATCAGATTTAAATTTTACACTAAAATTTCCTAAAATACCCACACACCGTTACTAATTCCGTTAAAATTTTAAGAATTGTCGTTAGTTCACCGTTAACTTACTCATTGATTTCAATAAAAAAAGGTCGTCTTAGGTTCGAACCCCATCCCAATCAAAGTTGGCATAATTAGTACTCTATTTTACTCTTATTAAATTATATAAAAATAATAATTTAGTAGTTACAACGAAAAATAATACATATGCATTTCTTTAATTTAGAATTATGTGTCCACAATGTCTTTATTCAAAAAAAAAATTATTCATTATCAATAAATTAAATAAGAGAAATAATTTCATTAGTTATATTGTCTTTATTTTTCTTCAATATAAAAATTCTTTATATTCAAATTTATTAATTGATTATATTCGCTACATTATCCTTACAATGTCTTTATTCAGTGAAAAAAATTATTAATTATCAATAAATTAATTAAAAGAAATATTTTCATTAGTTATATTGTCTTTATTTTTCTAAAATGTAAAAATTTTTACATTCAAAATTCAATTGATTATATTCACTACATTATCTATTATCTTTTTTGTGCACTATTTTTCTAATTAAATATCAAAGTTATAATACAAAATAATGCTATATATTTATTTACCAAGTATTTTATTAATACCATGAAAAAATTAAATAAACCAACCATATTAACTACATGAGAGATTTTGTGACAAAGAGAGTATTCAAATCACACAACAAATTGAAGTGAGAACTACCTCGCAATGTCCTTGTTTGACAATCAGCAGTTAGCGGATTATACTAGCGGATTTGACCAGCGAATTTATTTAATTATTAACATTGGGTAGAAAAAATGACCGCCAAATTATTAAATCAAATGAATGGTTCATATTGTTCAGGTTTTAATTTTTTTCTTTTAAGATTTTATAATTTATCCTTAATTATATGATTATCCATTTAACTTTTCCGTTAATTTACCGTTAGTCTAATTCTAATATTAAAGTCTAATATAGAATTATAACTACACCATTAATCTAATTCTATTATTAAAGTGTTAATAGAACTTAACCACAAATCCTAATGTCGGAATCTCCTCAAACAATATTAGTATATATTTAATATTTTATGCCCTAATTTTTATTTGTTTTCCCTTATGTCCCGTATTTGGTTTCAACCATACCTATACAATTATTTTATTGACAATTATAATCAATCTTGACTATATTATCTTGCATTTGTAAACTTAGAATTACCTATTTAACCCGCACGGGCTTAGCTCAATGGTTTAGTGGGTAGTATTTGGGAGAAGAGACCAAGATTTGAACCTCGGCAGCGGCAGTGCGGGAATTATGTCCAAAGTGGGCAGATTCCTTGCGCGTATCAGCATTTGGCCCTGTCTGCTGAACCATTGAGTCACCGTGATTTACAACTTCCCACAATGCTCTGTCGGGTCGGAGTGTGGGGGGCCCTTGGGGTTGGGGACTCAACCTTTGGGAGAAGAATTACCTATTTAAATACGCAAATTCAACCTTCAATTATCTATGCATGAACAATTTCAATATAATCCTGCCTTAATATACTTTAAAGTACTTATTTAAAAAAAAAATGCATTGGGCATTATCCCAATCGCGCAATGCGCGTAAAAAACTAGTGTATATATATATATATATATATATATATATATATATATATATATATATATATATATATATAGAGAGAGAGAGAGAGAGAGAGAGAGAGGGATGCACTCAGGTGCGAATAAGTGCTCAGGAGGGAAATGCGAACGAATCAGCGTGCGACACGTGTCCAGATCTAATAACTTAAAAAAAATGCGGTGGCATTTTCGTAAATAATTGAACATTGAAGTGCAAGTAAAATCACTTACAAGTGCACCTACTTTCACCTATAAGTGCATGTAATTTTGCCTTGTTACCATTTACTTTCTGCAAACATTCATGCACCTGGGTGTGCTTATAACTATATGTGCAACTATTTATAACTATAGGTGCAACTACTTATAACTATAGGTGCACCTACTTTCACCTATAAGTGCATGTAATTTTGCCTTGTTAGCATTCACTTTCCGCAAGCATTCATGCACCTGGGTGTGCTTATAACTATATGTGCAACTATTTATAACTATAGGTGCAACTACTTATAACTATAGGTGCACCTACTTTCACCTATAAGTGCATGTAATTTTGCCTTGTTAACATTCATTGATATGAGTTAAGCGGGTAGTAATACCTCTGAAAACCACTCGCAAACATTCATACACCTAGGTGCAACTACTTATAACTATGTGTGCAACTACTTAGAACTATATGTGCAACTAAGTATTGATGCTCAGTGTAAATTTTTACTTGCACCTATAATACATTTTACATGCACCTGTAATACATTTTACTTGCACTTCGATGTTCAATTATTTACGAAAATGCCATCGCGTTTTTTTAAAAAATCAGTGTTTCTCATTCATTAGATCTGGATACGTGGACAAACAGAATTCATTCCTATTTCGCGCCTGGGCGAAGCATCCACACCTGAGTGCGATTATATATATATATATATATATATATATATATACACTGAATTCTACTGCCTCTATTATAATGTAGTATCTGTTCATAACTACTTTTTGAACATATTGAAACACAAAAAAGTCAATATCGTCTCTATTGAGACTTGATTCGACAACCTCCCTTAAAAGAGAGCAACTTAGTATCATTGGACTACAAGATCCTTAGTATATATATATATATATAAAACTGTTCAGATGTGAATTCTTATTGTGTGCATTTGTGCACTATTATCACTCGTGCATGCGGATTGATCAATGGGCACAGATGGGGGTGCACCCTAGTCCGGTGCACTGCACCTACCCAATCAATTACTCTGATCATTGCGATAGGGGCGGGTGGGTAATTTTGATAGGGGCGCGTTTTGGGGGATTGTATTGCGTTTTACTTCGATTGTGACGTCGCCGTGCATTCTCCGGTGAACCAACGGTATCCAGTGCGTGATGTCTCGAACCAGTGGCGGCCGCCGGGAGGGGAGGGGTAGGTCCAGGCAGCCATTGACGCCTCCGACTCCGCCGTCGTCTGGTCTACACAGAGTGGCTGCGGGGTCCCGGTCACACAAACGGGGGGGCTCCCGTTCGCCGTATTCGACGGCTGTGGGGGGTGTCGACAGGTCTATTTCTGGGATAGCAGATAGGGTTGCTGCAAGGCATCAGGCGGCGCACCGGCCGGATGGGGCAGGTTAGTTCATGTGCACTCCGTCTGTTAGTTGTGTAAATTTGAGAAGATGAGCTGGGCAAAATTAGCTAGTGTGTTATTTTTTACCCTCTATTATATTATTTTCTTCCTTAGTAGGTAAGAGAGGTTAATTGATTTTATTATGAGCAATCTATGTTATGCAATCAGAATTCGCAGATTGCACTTGAGATTTCTTGTTACATGGAAGAGAGAATAAGAATTTTAGTTCTGTTTGGTCTATCTTTCTTCCACTTGGGCAATTTTCATTTCTAGATATGAAGGAAAAGTCAAAGGTGTATTGTGCCTTTTTAGTTGTCCCAATTCTGTGGTTATTGCAGCATTTTACAGTGCAATAGCGATTGAGAATGATGGTTAGTTTAACTGTTATTATTATCTGTTTATGATCATTTTGAAGCTTTATTTTTTAGAACGTCCTAACTAATGTTTGATTGCACTTGATACTTGAAGTCGGGAACTTGGATGCTGTAACTGATTATGCATGATTGGCTTGGTTAATTTAGGGTGGTTTAATTAGCTAAAAACCTGGGTAATAGACTGAGTGGATCAATTCTTGTGTTGTCCGTCTTTAAGTTTTTGATTAAACCCGCTAACTTCGGTGCAGTTTTTAGGCAATCTGTATTATGCATTCCAAGTGTGTCTTTGGTTGGGGATAATGAGCGTGATAATTAGCATAATGATTACCTTAGCATGATAATTAGCATAAAATTACCTTAGCATGATAATTAGCATAAAATTACCTTAGCATGATAATTAGCATAATATCTTATTCCTTTTACTGTGTGTGGGTGTCTTTGGTTTAAGTACCAAATTAATGAGCTGGGTGCACTGAGTGAACCTGCCTGGATAGGTGAATAAATAGGGCAGTATTCAGTGTGTCACTGTGTGATTGAATATTCATTTAAGTACCAAATTAATGAGTTGGGTGCACTGAGTGAACCTGCCTGGATATTTTTTTTGTTTTTTTTTTTTTTTTTTTTTTTCCAGAGTCGTGTCACTCTCTCTTGTGCGGTCACCGTCGTTGAAGTGCTTTATCTCCCAACGGCTGCGACATCAGCGATGGCTAGGTGCAATGGCGAGGGGTGCGTCCGGCCATGCATTCGCGCCACCGACAACAGCCTCTGCCGGTTCTCACAGGGTGCAGTCGGCGTCTCGGTCGTTCAAGCGTCGGGCTGGTCGTCGTCCCCCGCCCTCCACGACAGGGTGCATCTGACCGGGCTGCGGGGAGTAGCTTCCAGGGTCTCCGCAAGGCGGTGGGCACAGCGAGGTAAGTGCGGGTTTCTGATGCGCTCTCTTTGCATGTCGTTCATAGTTAACTTAATTCTATATAGGGTGGGTTTGTATGCTGGAAGAATGATGGGGTTTGGGGCATTTTCCATGGGTGTTTAAAATTAAATAGGACCAATAGGTTAGGTGCAGATCATGCAGTTAGAGGAGGAAAAATGTGTGTTTGATTGCTGTGTATATGGGACTGAATTTTAAGCTTAGTGTTATGCACGTGTAAAACTGTTATGTTGTGTGGTTGAATACTCATTTGATGGGAAAACTATATTAAAAGCTTGATGTTTTGCACTTTGGGACACTGGTCTACAAATATTCTTTGTCAATAAGTGTTTGAATACTCATCTTGATGGAAAAATAGAATTAAAAGCTAGATGTTCAGCACTTTCGGACACTGGTGTGCAAATACTAAGTCAAATAAACTGTTATTTGAAAATAAGGGTGAAAGATTAGTAAAAGGGCGATTCTGTGTCAGTGTGTGATTGAATACTCATTTAGTAATTTTGTTATGTACTCCATAACAAATAACAAAATTATTTGGAATGGTCTGCAATTGTTTTACATCAATGTAGGAGAGCAAGGCAAAAAATTGGTAGTCTCAATCTAAAAGGAAGAATGCACACCTTCAACTCCAAGCTAAGGGTTGTCAGCCGCTGCTCAGTGTGCTCAAGCTTTTATGTCTTATCTTTAATATAATCTTCCCGGAGTTCAATATAAAGAATAGTAAAACAACATAGTAAAACACAAACAGAAAGTATTGATAGACACACAGAGTAAACTGTGCTAGAAATTTCACCTTCTCAGCCACAGTAATGGAGAATTCTTTCCTTAAAGCCTCTTCTCTCAATTGGGTCTGCTTGTTTGCCTGCTCCTGGTAAACTGCTGCCCCGGGTTAACATACTATATATCCCCTAGCATTTGCCAGTCGGTTGGAATGGGTTAATGGGTAATATATTGTAGGGGAATGGATGGTTGGTGATAAGGTCCAGCTAGGGGGGGGGGGGGGGGGGGGTATTGGAACTGGATCTTTTATTAGTTAATGGTGTGGCAATGAACCTGGGATGCATTCATTACTTGTCTTCTAGTATGTGGTCCGAGGGGTGTTTTAGTGTAATTGCAATTGTTATGTGCATGCATTTCAGTTTGGGGCAATCAAATATGTATTCATATAGGGACAGGAACAAGTTCACTAGTGTTTCAATACATACACTACTAAAACTGCTTGTGCAATACAAATTTGCTATATGGGACTGAATTTTAAGCTTAGTGTTATGCACGTGTAAAACTGTTATGGTGTGTGATTGAATACTCATTTGATGGAAAAACTATATTCAAAGCTTGATGTTTGCACTTTGGGACACTGGTCTGCAAATATTCTTTGTCAATAAGTGTTTGAATACTCATTTTGATGGAAAATTTGAATTAAAAGCTAGATGTTCAGCACTTTCGGACACTGGTGTGCAAATACTAACTCGAATGGACTGAATTCCAATCTTGATAAGCTAATACCGGGGCTGACCTTGAGTAGGTGTGCGGATTTTGTTTGGTAAACACTAACAGTAGTAAAAATTAGATGACCAAGTGGGTACAAAACTAGTCACAACATGCTAGGCTACCCACAAACCTGTTCACTAGTCAACACTAAGTATGTTTCTGACTTGCATTTGTCTTGTTTATATAGGTGCACTACGGATTTAAGGTTGTGCTTCAGTTTTGGGGTAGCCAAAAGTTTACTTGTGTGTACAATTTGTGTGATTGGTTGTGTATCTGTATCTAAATGATTCATGCACTGACAGTTTATATAAAGTGTCGAATACCAGAATTATAAAGTGTGTGTGCGGTGTGCACTACAAAATTAAAAAAAACAAGTACTGATACGCTGTGCACTCATTTAGGACTTGTTTTAAACTTCGTATGCACTCATCAATTGTGGTATGTGTCTTTGTGTTGCACTGTTGCACCAGGAAGTGATGCTCAACAGTCGGTGGTATTAAGAGATGAGGAGAGTGATACAGATGAGGATTAGCACACCCCAACACGTGATCCCGAAGAGCTGAAGATTGAGGAACCAATGCGTGGTGAGCCGCCGAGGGAGGCCAAGGGAAGTTGTACGCCTCGTGGCCTCACTTACGCCACAACAGGGGCAAGGTGTTTGTTCTATTGGCATGGGGGCATCTTGGGATCCAGGTTTCATGCACAACATCCTTCTGAGTGCGGTGAATGGCCACATGCAGTGTATTGTCACACGTGTTGAGGATCAGCAGAACAGTAATTTAGACTCCTAGTCTACCGGATGGGCACTGCAAAACTGATGAAGTAATGTCTTTTTATTTGTTTCTCGACACAGAAGTAGGTTTCTACTATGCTTATTTAGAAGGTCCCGAGGTAGTGATTTGTGGATATTAGTTATTACAAAGTAGCGGGGACTCTATGGTTTGCACAAATGATGTGGGCCTATGATAATTTTACCATAGTAGATATTAGGTATTATAAAGCAGGAGGAGTCTGTGGTCTGTTTTGGTAACTTGTGCAGTAGTGCAATCCATTTTTTTGGTAACGGTTATTATGCAGTACGAGCAAATTCAATCATCTAATTGTATTAAGTTGGGCAGCAGTGCAATCATCAATCATCTAATTGTATTAAGTTGGGCAACAGTGCAATCAAATACATTAGCAACGTCATGTGGTAATTAAAGGTTTTGCTTTAATAAATCAATAAAAGTGAAATAACACTAAAACAATTAAAAATGTGTCCAATATGGACACAAAGCGGTGCATGGATTCTATCATCAACACACACTCGACATCCCACAAACTACCACCTACAATGAATAGAACAAACCAATTACAACTTATTAGTGGTGAATGTTAGGGAAATTAAGCATTTGCTCAATATAAAATGGTATGCATTGGTCCATAGTGCACCTGTTTGCATAACACACATTGCTCCCTTGCGACGGTGGAGTCGTATGTGCTAAAAGACAAAAACTCATTAATAGCACCTGTTCAAGAAAATATACACTATGAATCTGATGTTTATCATTGAATGTTAATACAAGAGGACTCCAATTTACCAAAACAAAAAATAAATCATGAAGAAAAAAAAAATAAACCAAGGAAGACAAACCAGCACTCGGGATAACGGGATAATATTTTATTACACAAAAATATCACAACAGTGGGGAGTTTGTGATTACTATTTTTGTAGGGGAACACAACCATCGTTTGTGCTCCGAGCCTTCTAACTTATTCATGAGGATTAACCGGAAGTTTGATGTGGCACAACAGGCATTCACTGCAAATTGTGTGAAAGCTAATATCGGTAGTTCAAAAGGGTTTAGGTATTGCACTCAACCCTATTAGATAGCTGTCTCCTACATTGCTTGTTCTTGCCACCACTAGCACTACCTTCAGCAACTGGTTTGCACCTACCACCCCCCCTAACTCCTTCCCGTCTATATACTAAGTAACACATGATAATTTTCCCATCCCGACCTCGCTTCATGGTTCTATGCCAGACGTCAAAGCTCCATGCTCGTGCGTAGTTGATATAGAACCGAATGCCTTCTATTAGTGTTGTAAAACGACGTCCAACGGTAGGTGTAATTGCAGCGTCCACAGTCGGCCACCAATAGTTAATAGGTCAGTTACACTATGCGACACGCTCTTGCTCACCATCTCCCCTCATTTGCCACTGCGTGGAAAACCATGTAAGCATTGCAAAGAAATATGTGAATAGCCCCAGAACAAAATTTAGGGACTGCCACAAACTTGTGAACCATAAATTAGACATTGTCGTTGGGGGCGTTATTATTTTTTTTTGGGAAAGCAAACCAGATGCCCCCACGTTGGCATGATGCTAACAAGACCAGTGAACTGACCAGTATAACCACCAGATTTGAAGAGAGAAGAGGAGAAGAAAACAACAAAAACGCGAACAAATTACAGAAGGGAAAACTATTTTCGAGGCAAAATGTAAAAAGTAGCATAGCCGCATGCACTTCTTTGTATATATGGTTATATTGTATATAACCATCACATACACATTATGATGAGAAGAGCAACCAAAAAATGGTATATAAGACTCCTAAACCAATAGATGTATTCAGGAATATTAGAAGTAAATTAACGATTAAAAAAGCACAACGTACTCTGATTTTCTTCATTTGGACCACAATTGTGCACATGTCCAGGATCTAGTTATAGCTTTAAGGAATGGTGAAAAAAAATCTTTTAAATGACCTTTAGACATAGCAAAACAGAATGAGGCTAGCTAATGCACCAATTAATTCAGTTTAACAAAATTAAATACCTATGGATTCCCTAGCATCAGTATCAACTCCAAAAAAAAAAAAAAGGGGGATAAAACCACATTCATCTTCATGTAATTACAAGAGTATACAGAACTTTCTACTACAACCCAGCAGCCCCTACCAGTTACAATCCGATCTATTAAAACACTAGCAAGTAAACCAAACAAGCAAGCAACAGTTTTCATCACAAGGCCGCCGGCCAGCCAACCCCAACACGGGTCACTCTCTCGCCCACACGCTACAAACCGCCCTAGGGAAGATGACGGCATGCACATACCACTTTGTGAAACTGGGCACCGAGGGTGCATCACCCTGCGGGCTCGCTCGCGCCGTGCGAAGTATCAGACTCCACCGTCGTCTCCCCCAGCGCACTGCCACGATTGTGCGTGGGTGCATTTTTAATGGGGAACCAAACCCGACGCGCTGCCGGCAATGAATTCATGCACTCACATCACCGCTCACATTACCCAATTCCACCCACAACGCATAGCCAACGACGCCATGGTTGCACCAAGGAAGGGTAATGTGCCCCCATGGAAAACTCCACGCCGGTGGCAACACTCCCAAATGAACGCCATTACGAAGCAACAAAAGAAAATAAAAATTAAAATTTAAAAAAAAAAAAAAAAGAGGAGGAACAAACATGTTAACAAAGAAGCCGCCACAGCCACCATCGGAAGTCCACCGCGATCCATCTCCACCGTCGCGCTGAAGCAGTGTAGTCTAAGGAATCTCTACCCTGATGACCGGAAAACAAGGCTGGGATAGACGTCTCTGGCGTTAAATTCAATCCAAAAAAATGATCTTACGGAAATGCCCCAAGGGCAACATGTATGCTGGTGTATCGTATAGGAAAAGCATGTTTAATTGGTGCCATCGGATGCACAAGATCAATGCACCATACCACTGCACAAATTCACACATTAATAATGGTTTGCACCAGAAAAGCACCCATGCCCAATGATTATTTTTAAATAAGTGTTTAAAGTATATCAATGCAATATATATCGGAGATACTCATGCATAGTTAAATAAATATTGAATTTGTTTATTTAAATCAATAATTTAAAGTATATATAAATGCAAGATAATATATGAGACATTGATTATATTGTCACTAAAATAAATGTTTGCAACTTTGTAATAACGCTAGTCTAAATACTTAGTCTAAAAACGATAGTATAAATAAATACTACTTTTGATTTAAATATCTCTAATATAATTCTTCTTAATTCTCTTTTGGGTAGCATTGTCATTGTCTTCATGTTCAGTACATGTCCTTTTTTTTTCTTTTTTATTGGTAGTGCGTCATGTGCAATTGGGTTACTGGTGGTAGCATAGATGGATCCATCGTGCAATGAGATTATGGTGTAGGAAGCTTTAGATTTGCCTTGTTATGTATATGATGAGATCTTAGTTGTATTATTAACTCTTTATCTTACAAGCACCTATTGATCTTTGGTAGTGGTAGTTTTCTCCTACATGTTTCATGTGTTGTGAGATGTGTGTCGTAGGTTATAATGTGAAAGTATTGAACAAAATATTAATATTTATTATATTTGTATAAAATACTTGGTAAATAAATATATATAACATATTTTGTACGATAACTTTGATATTTAATTACACAAGATAATGTAAAAAGAAGACAATAAACAATGTAGTGAATATAATAAATTAATAAATTTGAAGGTAATGAATCTTTGAATTGTAGAAAATAAAGATAATATAACTAATGAAATTATATCTCTTTTAAAATTTTTATAATGAATAAATTTTTTAAATAAAGGCATTATAGACATCTAATTCTAAATTAATTAAATGTATATGTATTATTTTTTGTTGTAGCTACTAATTTATTTAATTTAATAAGAGTAATACAGTGGCTTACATACTTTTCATCAACAATAATGAAATCATTGATTTTTTTTTAAAAAAATTTACATGCGTTGTTGAGACAAATTGTTTTGAGAGTTTGTCAATAACAATTGTTACAATTCTTGTCAATAGAAGATGACAATAAATAATTCAAAATATATAGTTACAATAGATATTGTTATAATGATATAGTAAAAATTAACTTACAAATTTCTTTAGAAGTTTTAATGCATTGATAAAAATCTGATGTGTAAACTTATTCAATTGGAGCTAGTGGGATGTCAACATTGACAAATTCTTTGGAAAATGTCCTATCATTTTAGAGTCCAAGTGTAATTGTATTTATGATCAACAACTTTGTAGTTAGGTCGCGGAGGTCTGACAATGATGTAAGAACAATTTTGTCCGATAAAAAAAATAATAGTATAATATTTGTAAAGGAATGTACAATTGTACCATTATAAAAATACATACAAAAATATTAATACCATAACGACCTAAATCATACCAATAATGCAAAAGTATAATTGAAATATTAAGTTTTGTTCTGATCTAAATAATCAAAAGAAGATTAATTAAACGAAAAAAAAATTAACCTAAATTTTTTTTTTTAAAATGCATAAAAAATTTGAAGTTATTGATTTATAATCTTTGATACTTAACTTTGAATGTTAGATATTTAGTCAATCTAATTATTTGACCAAAGTTTGTTAAATTTTATATTATATATTTTTTTAATGCATTTTAACATATTCGTAGTATATATTTAATAATTATGCCAACTCTAATTGGGATGGGGTTCAAACCTAAGACCTTTCTTATAAAAATTAATGAGTAAGTTAAAAATAATAAATAGTTAACGGAATATCGTGCGTTATTTAAGTCAGTAATGGAAGTGTGTGACGTTTTGTTCAAAAAAAAATGGAATATTCCGTTAGTAAAGTTTATACTAACGGAATTTAGGTTATTTAAGGGAAGAAAATAATATAATAGAGGGTAAATAAGGAAAATTATTTTTAAAAAAAATACTAAAATTGAAATAATATGAACCATTCATTTTAAGAAACAATAGTACCGACATTTTTTTTATTACAGTTAAGGGCCTAACATTATTGGTTCTTATTAGAATTATATATATATATATATATATATATGTGTGTGTGTGTGTGTGTGTGTGTGTGTGTGTGTGTGTGTGTATATATATATATATATATATATATATATATATATATAAACGTTGCGCACAGTAATGTTGAAACTGACGTTGTGACACAATTAATTTATAACACAGTTCGGGCAAATAACCCTAATCTGCGAGGTACTTCTCAAGTTGAGAATTTGCCTAAATCCACTAAAAGCTCAATATTCAAAGTACACTTGTTTAGGGAACGGGGATTACACAATATGATGATCTTTCCTATCAGACTATTGTGACCTAAACATGTGTACTACTTTTCAAGGGGATTTGAGTATCTCTTCTCAATGACTCTCGTGTCTCACAATTAGATCTTGAAAGCTTATCTTGAAGAGTTGTGGAGCTGCTTCTTTTATAGGCCGAGAGTCATAGGATGGATAGGAATAGAGTTGCTATTCCTAATTAGACTAGGAATATAGTTCCTAGTTCTTGCTTGACTTAGTAATCCCTTTTTGCCTTGAATTTGACAAATCATTTCAAGTCAATATATATATATATATATATATATATATATATATATATATATATATATATATATATATATATATACTTAAAATGATGAAATTTTATTATTATAAAGTAATAACAATGCACGCCAATGACCTTGAATTGTGGTCTAGTGGTATGGAGTGGCTCCCCCAAATGAGAGGTCATGGGTTTGAGCGGTATTAACTTTTTGTACTTCAGTATGTTAAGAAAGTAGCTATAAACAGATATTATATTATAACAGAATTATAAAAAAAAAAAAAAACATTATAACGGAGTTAGTAGTACTAAAAAAAATGTAATATCAATTCACATACAAAAAGATATATCATACAAGTTTAAGTTCAAAATAAATGTAAAGATCAAACAATACAACCTTGGCTATAAGCGCATTATTGGGGATTATGAGGCTAGTAGTAATGAGGCGTGGAAGACTTTTGTATGAAGAGCTATAAGTGATATCCTCCCCACTACTAATAATTTGATTATAAAGAGGGTAGATGTTGATCCAATTTGTGCCATGTGTGGAGTCATTCATGAGGATACTATGCACTCATTGGTTTGGTGTGATTTTTCACATTCCATATGGGCTCAATCTAACCTTCCACTCCCCAATATTACAACAAATATTTTCCATGACTGGTTTAGTGCAATCTTGAATGTTCTAGACACTAATAGAATTATGCACGCAGTTGCTATTCTATATCATATCTGGAGGGCGCGAAACGGAGCGGTTTGGGATGCGTGCCTACCATTGCCCAGGAAAATACTTGTCATGGCAACTGCCACCTTGCACGCATGGAGGAAAGTTCACGATGTAATGCCCAATGCGCCGCTAGCCACTGCCTCCTCGGGCGAAGGACCGCCGTCTGCCTCCACGGCCGGACTGCCGCCTATCGCCGCCTCGAATAACGCAGCCGCGATGCAACATCAGAAATGCTATGTCAACGCCGGCTACCGCCATGCCACAAACTCGGCCACGGTTGGAGTAATATTGCTCGATGTGAATGGTGGATATATCTCGGCATACAGCGCCCCACTTCCAAACTGTTTCTCACCACTTATGGCCGAAGCATTTGTGGCAAAGGAGGCACTGTCTTGGCTACATGCTCGTGGAGAACACTCTGTTCGTTTATACACAGATTGTCATGCACTGCAGTGCTATCTATCTTCGTCAGATGACCCGCCCCGATTTATACTGGTTATGCTATTGATAGTTGCAAAGCTTATATCTCGACATTTCATGCCTGCTCAGTTCTTTTTATTCCTAGATCGCAGAATTATTTAGCACATAGTTTAGCTTCTACTGCTTTTGAACAGACTACGGCTATGTATTGGGACACTATCCCTCCTGACTCTATTTCAGCATTTATTGAAATATAACCACACTGGTTCCCTTCAAAAAAAACAATACAACTCAACAATACAACTAATCTAATTAAACAAATATAATGCAACCTATTAAATAACTTAGCTAAACTCAAAATCAATATGGCTCAATATGGAGTGATTAAGATTCTCACACACTCTCCTGTTGATTATTATATTCATGCTCGATTGTTCCATGCCCCCAACGCCTCTTCACACTTAATTGGCACGTCAACACAACTACGTACTCATCTCCAAACTTTTCTTTTCAAACCCAAACCGTGTTGGGCATTTGTGAGCCTAATCACACTTTTTGATGATTTCGCTTCAACTTCTCAAGATATATTTGTTAGATAATCATTCAAAGAAAAGGCTACTTTAACGTAACTTTGTTCTTTATCCCCTATTGTTTTTGGAACCTTTCTTCGTCCACTTTATAAATGATAGCACTTTTAAAAATGTTTGAAGTCTTATGGAGGAAAAATAAAGAGAAAAATGCTTTTAAGGCAGTGTTCATATATTTCTTTTTTGTGTTTTGAGTCAGCCTACTTCCTTTCATATATTTCTTTTTTGTGTTTTGAGTCAGCCTACACTAATACGTACTTTACCTACGACATTGTTCCATTTCCTAACAATATAAAATGAATATAAAACAGAGTTTAATACATAAGTTAACATAAAAACATAAAGTTCAAATGAAATCATAGTATAACACCAGTGAACTTTTAATAATACTGCAGCAGAAGCAATCACACTAACGGTAGAGACTTTGGCAAATTATACCGTACATCAGGGTGCACATTGCATTGTGTCTTAAAAGTTTATGTGTATTATGTTAAAAGTTAATGTATGTTACGTTAAGAGTTTATGTGTATTATGTATTATGTTAGATTATGTGTATTATGTTAGATTATATGTATTATGTTAAGAGTTTATATATATTCTATTATGTAATCCTTCTATCCTTCTATATATTAAAGTCATATAGCCATGACCAATCAAATGCTTGTATTTTCCGGCCCAGTTAAAACTATGTCGTTTTGGTAAAGAGGTTTTTTTTTTCTTACTTTTCGGTATTAATCTGATGGTTAGCTTTTTGGTTTCTTCAAGAAACGATTGCTTATAGCAATATCAGGTCAGGTAGAGCATTGGAAATCGATAGAGGCATTTAATGATATGAGTATCCCTATTGATTATGAACTCAAAAAAAATATTACAAAATTCTAAATAATCTAAATAAAATCTAATCTATCTAATCTTCTAATCTAAATCTAAATCTAAATATCTAAATATATCTAAAAATATAGAATAATAAGTAATAGACTACAATTTGAACTCTTCTAGATATCAGCCACCGCCACCACATCGGAAGAATAACCGGTGCAATATAATCAGTTCGAGTAATTAATGTTTCAGCCTAATCCTTCTCTATTTATACTACAGGCATCATCCCATGTCTCATTCTTCTTCTTCATACAAAACCAATTCCAATCTCTCTGAAATAATGGCCCCTTTGTATATCCTTGCAAAAGATGAAACAATATATCCTTGCAAAAGATGAAACAACAATGTCATAAAAAGTCAGGAGATGTTATTCCATGATCATGAGGTAAGCCTTAGTTTTAATACAATCTAATCTATATTTAGGAGGAAAAATCACACTTCATAATTTTCTTTTTCATATTCCACTTCAAATACAATATGATCTTATAGAAAGATTTTTGTTCTTAGGGAACATATGTTCACGGCAACATACCCCAAGAATATTTGGATATGTTTTCATATCAGTTTACAGAAGGAAAAGTATATGCAATAAAGAACTTCCTGGTAATCTCCAACTATTACCAGTACAAGCTCACTTCTGTCAAATACATGATTAAGTTTAATCATGAGATAGAGATAGAAAGACATGGTAGGAAAGGGTTTCCTAAGTTGATGTTTAGGCTTAGCGGTTTTGAGGATCTAATGACTGAACTTATCCCTGAGAAGTTACTGCTTGGTTGGTTCAACTACTTTATTCTCTAATTCTTCATTATATTCTTCCAGTTTTCCTTTATTGTTTGTATCTACCTATATATTTGCTAACTATTTTACAAATCATCACATATAGATGTGATTGGGCAAGTTGTGGAGTTCTATCCAAACTCTTTTCTGTTTGGTTTTGTTATTTGTAAATATCCTAATTTATTTTTTAAATTAAGATTATGAATCTGGAGATAGTTTTGATGAGGCCAATAGTCCTGATGTGCCTTTTAAAACAGGGTGAATTCGCCGGTTGGGAAGGCGTTTTAAATGGGATACAAAAGTAAGACCGTTTTTTTTGGGATACAAACATAGGAAAAGTGAAGTTGAGGAATGCATGTTTACTTTTTTAAACATGCATCTCAGAAATGCATTAATAGCTTTAAATAAAATGTATTTTCATATAAAGTATGATACATTATACGTAGATAGTACGGGGATAATACGGTAAATGTATTTACATTAATAAATACAAAAAAAATAAATATAAAATTATGTATTAATAAAACCCTACTTATTTCATTATTCCCCCTTCCCCTTTTTTTTTTACGTTCTTGCCGCATAGAAGATACAGAAGACTTCCCAACGCCTCAATCTCATCTGCGACTATTTGTGCGGCGGACAACGGCGGCGTGCGGGGCGGACAACGGCGGCGTGCGGGGCGGACAACGGCGTTCGGTGCGGGGCGGTCGACGGCGTGCGGTGGTTTGTGGTGATCGACGGCGTGCGGTGGTTTGTGGTGATCGACGGTGAAAAAGGCGACATTTTACTTCAAATTGACAGAAACTTATAGGTAAGCTCTAAACTTCACTTTTGTGCAATTGACTTTCTGTTCTTTTGAATTCTCAATTTTCTAATTTTATCTTCTATTTTATTCTTGGTTGCAATCCATAATATATTTAAGATGATCTATGAAAAAGTTGTTCAGCGATCATTATTTATTATAGATGAAGTTGAATAAGACACAAAAAGAGTAAAATAGAGGACATTAACATAAGGCACTGGGTGTATGAGTATCCTGGTGAACTAATAACAACAACTTTTTTGTTTAGTGCCAATCCATGTTCTTCATACAATGATACTGTAAATGAGCAATCAACGAAGCACAGTACTGCATAAGCAATTTTTTTTAAAAAAAATACTAAAAATATTTATATATACTAAATTTGGTTTAGATATTACAATTTTGTTAAATAGTGGTCAAATATACTAAATTTGGTTAAGTAGTTTTATTATTGGAAACAATATTTGCAGAAAACCATCCTCTTGTTAAGCTCAGTAGTAATTCAGACATGAAACTTCTTGAAGATGAAGTAGATGGGCCTAATCCAAGTATGCCTTCTGAAAGCCGTAGGATTTTGAATTTTTTCATACTATCTGGTTTTTATCCCACTAGAAACATTCTACATAACTAGTAAAAAAAATTATTGTTTAAAAAAAAATGAAGTTTGACATTATTAAACATATATTCACCTAACATGGTCTCACCGGGTGCATGTTATATAAATAATTTGTGTAAATAATGAATTGCATGAATTGCTTGAAACTTACTATGTAATCTAAAAAGTAAATATATTATTAAAAATTGGTGAGTAATAATTTGTTAATAAATATTTGTTTATAGTTATGGAAATGTCATTGCATCCGGGACCGATTGATCCAATGATGTTAGTATTGCAACAAAATCATCGTTCTAAAGCCATTTGGACAAATCGAGATTATAATCCCCGACTCAACGTCGGTCGGTACGACATGCAGACTCAAAGTCGAGATGTTCGCCATCCCCAAATGCTTCATTACCTACGTGTTGCGGGATTTTACGGAGTTGCTCACCTTACAAATATAAAGTTGGACCACGCATTAATTGCTGCCCTTATAGAGCGTTGGCGTCCAGAGGTCCACGCCTTTCACATGCCTTTCGGTGAGGTGGGAATTACACTTCAAGATATTGAAGTGTTATTCGGATTGAAGGTGGATGGCCTACCAGTTACGGGGGGAGATAAGCGGTCTGTCCAAGAGTGGAAGTCTGTTTTTTGCGAATTGTTTGGAATTGAACTTCTAGATAAATTTGTTACAACTAGTAAGGTTAATTCAACAGTCGTACCCAAAGTTCCGAAACTCATGCCTAACAGCTCAGATTTTGAGGTGAAAAAAGCCACACAGATACTTATGTTTCACTTATTAGGAGGATTTCTATTCCCCGAAACAAATAAGACAGATATGAAATTATTTTTGCTTGAGTATATTCGTGATTTTGAAGTGTGCGGTCAATATAGTTGGGGATCGGCAACTTTAGCGTATCTGTACAGGGCGTTGTGTAGAGGGGCCCATCATGAAACTAAGACCGTATGCGGATGCTTATTATTGGTACAAATTTGGGCATGGGAGCGATTGCCTATGGTTAGGCCACAAGGCGTTTTGCCTCAGGAAATACTTGGAGATTTGCCACTTGCAGCAAGGTTAGTTGTAAACTTTGATTAAATGCTTGAATTTTTATTGTGTGTGAATTACTTATTGTGTTATTTTGAAACCTAGGTGGAATTGCCGGCATTCATGGCGTTCTGTCCCTGGACACGTAGAACGAGTTTATCGCGACCAATTCGATCGACTTAGTGCAAGCAAAGTGAGTCACTTCAATGTAATGTTTATATTTTTACAATTATAATAGATATTTATATAAATAAAATTTTAACTTCATGATATTGAATTTTATTTTGCAGTTCAGTTTCACTCCATATGATAACATCTTGAATAGCTTGCCCCATTGCCCCATTATTGCAAAGCAGGGCAAGAGTTTTGGACAGCCCGGGTGCCTCTAATTTTCTTTTACATTGTTGAGTATCATTACCCAGATAGGTTTTGTAGACAATTTCATGGCCTTCAAGATGTCCCCACTCATGTGACATATAGTCACAAATTGCATGAAACAGACGGCCGTTCGGGTAATGCAAATATTAATTGGAGTGTAAAGCATGCGACGCATGTGCAACAATGGAATAGTCGAGGTTTATTTATTACAGAAATGACGCATAAGGAAGAACCAACGATTACTGATGCATACCGAGATTGGTTCTACCTGTATGGTCGACGGTTCATTGGTAACCCTGACCATAACCCAGACGATGGTTATTTGCAAAGTGTTGCTTCAGTTAATAGATTGGTTAGTATTACTTGATTATTACTTGACAATTACTTGATTATTAATTTTTGTAGTATTATGTGAATTTTTTTTTTTGTTATTACGTAGTATTTTTTGTGGTGTAGATGCAAGGGATGCAAGCAATCAAATTGAGAACTGATGCAGCACTTTTCAATCCTGCCGACCATGTTCAGGCCATTGTGGATGTGAATAATATGACTCGGCAATATATAATGGGTAGCATTTATGAAAATGTGGAGCGTGTCCCAGCCGATGTTATAAATTGCTCAGCTTTGGATGAGCAGATAGACAATCACCGTACTGATTTGCGACAACAACGTGCACATAGGCGTGGACAACCTGGATATGGCGGGAGGCGGATGCGTGCTATTAATGCAGCGTTACATGCAGAGGTGTCACAACGTGGTAATGAGCAAGCAGGTAATACAGCTGATGACTTTGATAACTTGCCATTGTATTCACAGTTTGGAGATGTAGCATACACAACATCGATGGATATTGGCTCTCAGTACCCGACCTTTGCTAGTCCTACGGGTGTGGTGCATAATCCCACACAGGGGTCATATTACCACCCAGTACAGGATTTCCAATCACATGCATCTTCTAGCCGAGCTGGAATTAGTAATCAAGTTGGTGAAGAACAACATCATAATCCCACACAGGGGTCATATTACCACCCACACATAAGGCATGTTTTGTGTTTGACTTCGTAAATTCATTCTTCCCAAAAAAAATCATGTCCCCCTTTCTGAATTCCGTTTTTGTTGGAATTAAACAATTTTTTTGGAGAATTGATTTATAGATGGAAAATTGTTAGTGTGGGGAAATGAAATTCATTGGAAATTACTTTTACAATTTAAAGTTTGACTTCAGAGTAATATGTATTTTTTTAATTATAAATTCATGTAACATGCCTCTCAGGAAGGCATGTTTTGTGTTTGGCTTCGATTCAACCAATTCATTCTTCCCAAAAAAATTCATGAAATGTTTTGTGTTTGGCTTCGATTCAACCAATTCATTCTTCCCAAAAAAATTCATGTCCCCCTTTCTGAATCCCCTTTTTGTTGGAATTAAACAATTTTTCTGGAGAATTGATTTATATATGGAAAATTGTTAGTGTGGGGAAATGAAATTCATTGGAAATTACTTTTATAATTTAAAGTTTGACTTCAGAGTAATATGTATTTTTTTTTTAATTATAAATTCATGTAACATGCCTCTCAGGAAGGCATGTTTTGTGTTTTTCCTAGTTCTATATAAATCACGTCAGTTTTCATCAACATTACATACCAACCAACATCTAGCCAACTTTGTAACTTTTACATACACTATACCTCTTTTAGCATTTGAAATTTCAAAATGGACGTATTTGTTCGTTTTACAAATATGTCAGCTGTCAATTCTTATAATAGACAAATGAAACGTTATTTCGCCTATACCGTTAATGTGAAGAAAATATTGTATGCAATTATAATACATACAATATCAAACCAATACGCATGTTTTGCAGCACCATCATGGGTTAAATATTTACAAATGCTAGGCTCAAATTCGTTGGAGCCAATGTTTTTTCAAGATCGGCAAGGTGCCAAAAGATATTCGACGGAGATCCTACATCAAGGCCTACAAGCCATTATTTATGAATCACGTAATATTTGGTAACCTTTTATTTAATTACTTTTTTCAGGACTAACTATAGTTTTTTACTATTGTTTTCAGCTTGCAATTATCAACAGCATTTGCCCGATATTACTACATGCACTATCACATGGTTTAGTATTACAATTACGTCGACAGTAACAATGGTAAGTATAACAATCTAATTTTGTTATTATGTGTTTTAGTACATTGATTACATTTCTATTTGATACATCGAATTTTTTTTCCTAGAAAATTCCAAATTGCATGCATCGTCATCTAATGCAACATTTTACTACAACGGCTATTTTGCGTCATGGTCGCTCGATAGGAATTGAAGTTACCGTTGAGAACATGCACTTCACTACGGGAACATCAGATTTCATGACAGTTAATGATTTGCATGTTGGGGACATTGTACTCTTTAGACATACTGGTTTCTTTACTTTTGAAACTTTTTTCTACTATGGCTACAACACTCCCAACTACTTTAATGGCGAGATGAAACTAGAGTCTAATCGTTATGGAGATTACATAACATCTCGCCATTATGATCAAGGTAACATTACACTATAATCCATATATTATAAATTATACACTTAACTACAAATATTAACTATTCTTTTTAATATTTTAGACCAAATAACTGTCAAGGCGATGTCCGCTATCCCACCATCCTTGTCATTTAATGCACTACAAAGACGAGAACGTTCTTGGTATATTGATTTCTCTAAATCTTCAGCGGTAAGAAACAATATACATGCATTAACGTATACATTCAACTTCCGTCAACAGGAATTTTTTCATTTACTAACTTCTCGTTACATTTCTCTAGCATGATTTGTTGGGTACATTTCTCAACAACTCCCAAGTCTTCTCCGACACTTTAAAGCTAATTGTTGGAAATCGAGAAATAGAGATCTACTTCAATGCAAGCCTATTCCCACTGCTGTGGGACGAAATAAAAACATCTTTCCAAATTGAGGAAACAGATGATGTTGTACTATTCAATACAGAAGACAATGTCGTACTAATGATGTTGATTGGTAAATGTAATGTTGAGAATATTTGTCCATGGTCTGTTGAATATGACATTCACGACAACATGTATGGTGAATTGAACTTGTTAAATGAATCATAAATATGAACACAACTTATATCACTCTATTTTATTTACAAGCATATTCTTATTCTATTTATTTTTTAAACATATATGTAATAATAAATATTATTTTATAAATAATTTGACTATATATTTTTCTTATAAGTAAAATATGCATAAATTATTTTTTTCTTATTATATCACAACTAAAGGATAATTACTAATCTTATTTATCTAAGTACAACAAATTGTAGTCATTATGCAATTATTACTTTTATGATTCCTAATAATTAAATAATTTATTTTCATTATTATTATACACTAATTACTATGCATTATTATTGCAGTACAAATGATTATGTAATAATTAACTAACTACTACTTTAAAAAAAAAAAAAAAAACTAACTAATATATTTTTCAAAAAAAAAAAAAAAAAAGAACAAGTATACGTGTATACTTATACATATATATCTACTTTTACAATACTATACACATACACATATAATACTACATTCTTTTCTATTTAAACTATTTTTTTTCCAAAAAAGCTAACATGCATTCTGAGGTTGCATTTTATGTTAAGCAAACATGCATTTCACAAAATAGTTTTTCCTATCTTTGTTTGCTTTTAAAAAGTGCCCTATTTTTGTATCCCATCATAAAGACTCCTCCTAATCGTGTTAATGACTCTTTAAAACAAAGGTTTGAAATATTGGAGAACAGAATGAACTTGACTCAACTAAAAGTGACTCAACTAAAAGAAATCTCTTGGACCAGTTCTCATCTACCAGTGATTTCAAAAGATCAAAGGCTATTGTCATAAAGAAGGAGAAAAATTGAAGAGACTGTGTTTGTAATGTGGTGCACTAATGGTCTATATATTATCTTATATTTTTTGGGACAATGTTTATTATCTGTTTTTGGGACATACTTGCAGAAATATGGTCTTCTAGGACTATGAACAATACTACTCAACACTTGAACTCTAAGTCCATACGGTGAAATTAAATGCATTGATGTCTGTCATTAATATCTTCTAATTTAGATTTCTCTTATTATATATTCTTCTATGTTTGTTTTATGTTTTGTAATGCAGGTTTTATAGATGATCATCATACATGCCAAATTGAAGATGGAAGATCAAGATGAACCAATATATGCAATTATATCTACAAATGTAGGACAATTTGCAGCAGAAGCATATTAGATTATAACTTTGTAAACAAAATTTGTTTTTGGTTAAACACAGATGAATGTAGCACATAGAAGCAAATTTGACACATTCATGAGAGATTTACCTGACATTCAGCCTCCATCTTCAAGCTAATTATACCTTCTGAAGCTCTGAAGTTGTGTTTTGCAAATCACCATTTTTATGGCCTACAAGAAAAATTAATTTAAATAGACAAAATATCTTGAATCGTCTTAAAAATCTCAAAGTTTAAGACTTCACTAAAATAAATTAACTTTGAAAACTATATCCTCATAAAGCTTTTAAAACTTCATCATGTATATTGTGTGGCTTCTCAAAAAGCTGCTGTTCCTTTTAAGAAATCTTAAACAAAAATTACAAAATTAAACTTGAAAGATATTATAGCAAAAATTTAGGAAAAAGGACCAAAAATCAACAAAATTACCTTTGAAATCTATATCTTCATAAAAGCATATAAACCTTTATTAAGTATGTTTCTTTTGTGTGGCTTCTCAAACCGCAGCAGCGGTATGCATGTTTTACAGATAAATCAAATGTTAAGTTCAATGCCTTTTAAGAGATTATCAACAAAATGAGAAAGTTAGACTTAAAAGAATTTAGTCCAAAAATCAGTAAATTACAAGTAAAGAAAATATCCATCTCTTATCAACTATTAGAAATATTAGACTTAAAAGAATTTTCAAACTATAAATAGTAGAAACTTTTTTTGTTCAAACTAAAGGCATTTTTGTTCACAAGAACATTGACAAAAATTACAGAAGAATTAAATAGAACAACTTAAAGATTTCAGATCCATATCTAAAGTAAGAAATAATGTTGACATTTGTTCATTGTAAACAAATTTATAAAATGCTAACGGGAAAAAACAATTTACATTATAAAAAAGGCTAATTTTACAGCATCTTAAATGTTTTAATACAATACATAAATACGAAGAGAAATCATCAAACTCCATATCAGTACACAGTACTCATCTTGAGATTGGCCCATGAAAACTTGAAAAGTCATTCTGTGCATCTAATAGTAGAAAAAAATGTTAAAAATGAACAATATATCAAAACAAGTTATGTCAATAAGACAATAAGCAATGTAACATGATTGATTTTTAGTACTTGATGATATTTAAATCATATGGGCATCAGAAAGAATTTTCATCATATGCCACTAACTGCAAGCAAATGGTTAGTACTGCCTAAAAATAGTGGACCATATAATCAGTAAATAAAAAATAATAAATTGTTAATCAACAATGTCAAGTAATAATAATCTAGAAAATAGAATAAAAAATATTTACGAGATTAAAAAAAAAAAAACTTACACTTATCATCTAGGCAGATGTTCTTTGTGTATATCTTTTACGGTTTTTAATGCTTTGAATCGATCCCCTGAGACATATTTGTTCTTCTCTAAGTCTAGGTACGTACATGTGCAAACATTTGAGAATTACAGACTTAAATAATTACATTTTAGAAGAAGTAAAATTATAACTTACTACATGTGGGAACGTCGTGTTTTCTGACGGATTTAAACCCAGTTTCGGCTTCAATTTTCATCGACATCGGAACTTCTTGGCCGGAAGTTGTACCACTTTAGGGTTTCAAATTTGGGATTAATTCATCTACGACGAGAGGTTTTCTTGGTTTCGAAGTTGAAGCTTGAAGGATTGAACAAAATTGTGGAGGATATCGGAACTCTTTTGGCGCAAATTCTCTCGGTTTAGGGTTTCGATTTTGGGGATAAAACTTCTAGGAGGAGAGGTTTTCGTGTTTTGAAGTTGAAGGGTGAAGGAGTGAAGTGAAGGTCGGTAATGGCTTCGATTTCCTGAAGCGTTCATGAGTCGCAATTAGGTAATCGCACTGGAATCGCGAAGAAGACGGAGGGAGGACCGGAGACGACAGAGCGAGGAGGAGAGTGGATGAGCGAGAGAGAGTTGGGGGAATCTGTCGGGTTGGGTGGGTTTAGATAGGTGGGCTGCGGGTGGTTTTGGGCTGGGTAGAGGGTTAGGTAAATGGGTTGCAGTCCACTATTTGAATTGTTTTATTATTATTATTATTATTATTATTATTATTATTATTATTGATATTGTTGTTATTGTTATTATTTATTTTATTTCTACTTTTTAATTTCATTTTTATTATTAGTGTTAGTATTATTTATTATATTCTATTAATATTAATATTATTATTACATTAATGAAACTTTCCTCTTTACAAACACAAATGACAATGCTTAATAATTTTTTCATGATAATAAGTTAAAAAAATCACAAAGGTACGTTTAGTACTTTAGTAGAACCATAATACATAAATAATAAAATAAAATTAATTCAATAATGTTGGTGTTTACAATATTTGTAAATAAATTTACTACACTAACAAATGTACATGATTAAAATATATATTTTATATTCACTCAAGTTTTACAAAACTTGGGAGATAAAATTATATCTCAATTCAATAATATAAAATATTCATCTTTCAATTATATTTGTTTTTATTGTTATTTTTTTTGTAATGTAATTATTCTTATTAATATTATTTCTATTATTATTGTTATTATCATTATAAATATTATATTTAATATAAGGATTAACATAATATTGTCAGGGTCAAATAGTTCATAAACATTTGGAGTCTCGAGCTATATTAGCTCCAACATTAGATGTTGTGGACAAGGTGAATGAATACATGAACAGTATGAATGAGGCAACTTCCAAGACATATTTTAGTTGTGATTCGGTTTGCAAGTGAGATACAAATGCTAATATGTTATCGGAGGTTCACGCCTACAGAGTTTCTTAACAGTTTGAGATGCTCCGGTGTTCCAAACCATTCTTTAACATTAAAGGTTGGATTGCCAATTATGCTGCTCAGAAATATAGACCACTCATTGGGATTATGCAATGGTACAAGGTTGATCATTACACAATTAGGAAACCATGTAATTGAAGCTCAAATTCTGTGTGGAAACAATGTAGGCACCAGGGTACTAATACCAAGATTGAGATTGACTTCTTCTGACCCAAGACTATCGTTTAAATTTCAGAGGAAACAATTTCCAATAATGTTGTCATATGCTATGACAATAAACAAGAGTCAAGGTCAAATTTTATCTCATGTGGGACTACTATTAAAGAAATCGGTGTTTAACCATGGACAGTTGTATGTAGCAGCATCTCGGGTTAGTAATCTAGATGGGCTAAAAATCTTAATATGTGTAGACTCTACTGTGGTTTGAACACTACAGAAAATGTAGTGTACAAAGAAACTTTCAATAATTAATAATTTTTTTTGGGATTTTTAATGTCATATCATAATGTTATTATTGTTTTGTATATATGTAACAATTTTTTTAAACTTAGAAACGCTTCCAATTTCGAAAAATTGTGTAATGATGCAACTATAATAACAAAAATAATTAATATCAATTTCTTAACATAAATTCAATATTTTAGAATTTTATGTCCGTGCATCACACGGGTGAAATACTAGTTATATATATACGAAGTAGGGGATTTTTAGGGCGCATAATGGTGCACGATATAACAACTGAGAGACTTTAGAACTTAATGATTTGGACCCTATTCAGGCTTGGGCCGCCCCAAGCAAACTCTATCCCATTAAACACTGGTAAGTGGGCCTTTGCATGTCAGAGCCCGTTAGTGTTCCTCGAAAATTGGTTGGAACCAATTTGAAAGGCAAATTCTATTGGACACCATGATTTATGTAACGTGTGGATAATGAATTAATGATAAGTAAATTATTGTATTGATCATGAATATTAGGTATATTTTTAATATACTAACAGCACGTTTGGTTCACGGAATGAATTTTGAGGTAATAGGAATGTTATTCCATAAGGAATAGAATAGGCAAGGAATAGAATAGGAATTGTATTCTATTGTTTGGTTCGCGAAAGGATAGACTTTAGGAATTATATTACAGTGTTTGGTTGATTTAAGGAATAGAAATGAAATATGTTTTAAAAGACATAAATACCCTTATAAGAATATGTGATGGTGGCGATGTTGGTGGTGGTGGTGGCGGCGATGGTGACGGTGGTGGTGGTGCTGGGGTGGTAATGGTGGTGGTGGCGGTGGCAGTGGTGGTGGTGACGGTGACGGTTGTGGCGGTGGTGGTGGTAGTGATGGTGGCGGTGGTGCTGCTGGGTGGTGGTTCTGGTGGCGGCGGTGGTGGCGGCGATGTTGGTGGCGATGTTGGTGGTGGTGGTGGTGGCGGCGGTGGTGCTGGGGTGGTAGTGGTGGTGGTGGCGGTGGCAGTGGTGGGGCCGGTGGTGGTGGTGGCGGCGGCGGCGGCGGCGGCGGTGGCGGTGGTGGTGGTGGCGGCGGTGGTGGTGGTGGTGGCGGCGGCGATGGTGGTGGTGGTGACGACGGTGGTGAATTTATCGGTGACGACGGTGGTGAAATAGGATAAATTTATATATAGGATAAAAAAATTAGGTTAAAGAAAAGGGTAAAAAAGGAAATAGATTCTAAAATCTATTCCTGAGCGTTCAGTAATAGGCTAATACCAGGGGGGCCCTAGTAATAGCTATTACCTCATTTGAGGTAATAGGCTATTACCAGGAATATATTTCCTGGTAATAAAAATGGTTACCAAACAAAGGAATAGGCCTATTACTGGGAATGCTATGCCATTCCCGGCCTATTCCGTGAACCAAACGGGCCATAAAAGTATATTATTTGTGTAGTGAAGGTATATTATTTGATAGTATATATAAAAGCGAAAGGGGTTAAATAGGCCCTCGAACTTTAACTTAAAAGTCAATTAGACCCCTAAATTTTTTAAAGGTTCAATTACACCCATCAACAATTCATTTAGGTGCAATGAAGCCCAAAAACAAGTTAATGACCTGCTATCACAGGTCATTAGGGTTCAGGCCACCTTCTGGCGAATTTTCCGACAAAAAAAAGGTGACCAGCAATCGACCCAGATTTGTCGAAAATTTCGCCAGTCATTTCTTTTGTCGTAAATTTCGCCAGTCACTTTTTTTTTTTTGGCGAAAAATTTGCCGGAAGGTGGCCTGAACCCTAATGACCTGTGATAGCAGGTCATTAATTTGTTTTTGGGCTTCATTGCACTTAAATGAATTGTTGATGGATGTAATTGCACCGTTAAAAAGTTTAGGGGCCTAATTGACTTTTAAGCTAAAGTTCGAGGGCCTATTTGACCTTTTTTCCTATATAAAATAATGTATTTTCAGTACTCAAGTAATGTACTTTAAAAAAATTATACTTTACGTACATAAATAACGTTTTTTTTTTTTTTGAAAACCAAATAATGTACTTTTAGTATATTAAAAATGTACTTTTATTTATGGTCCATATAACTGTGTAGACCATGATCCATGTAATAATGATTGATAATGATGTGAGATCTATTTTAATTTCATTTTTTATATATATTAATTTAATTATAGAGAAAATTACATTTTTGGTCCTATGACTGTTGAGGTTTTATTAATTTCAACCCACGACTTTAAAAACTAACAATTTAGTACCATAACTATGCAATTTTTAACACATTTGATTCACCCGGCGAAATTACCGGCCAATTGTCGCCGAAAAAGTTGTAATCCATTTTAATTTGTTTAATAAGGGGGGCAAATCGGTCATTCGAAGTCTTTTTTTTTTTTTTTAAAGGAATGTTGAGTCAGCTTGGAAGCGCCAATAATGGGGGCAAATCTCTGATGTTTCAACCGCACACGGCGCTCAGAACACGCCGCCGACAAAGTTACGTCCCGAATTGGAAGCTTGTGATAAGTGTGTGTATTACAGTTGCAAGCATGGGAGTCATATCTACCATTCAATCGATTGATGGGATAATAAAATTTCTCAGCAAACTTGGGACCACCAAATCTGACATTGGACATTGCTGAGTTATTTCTAAACTGCTTATTTAATCGATTGTTACTCGACATTTCAGAACCATCACCCTGATGTCTCATGTCTCCCTTCATATTTTCAAACCATACCTGCATTCTCTGAAACAACAAATTGCCGCCTATCTGACCATTTCAACCCTGAATCTAGTTCAAAATTCTTTCGGACGCGGACGGTAGCGCGTGGTTCACGGTCGGTGAGGCCAAGAAGTACTCGTTCAGAGAATCATAGTTGTATACTCCACCTTATCACAAGCTTCCAATTCAGTCTCGCGATGAGGGATGATTCGGTAATAGCGTGAGCTTGTAACTTCGCCGGCGGCGTGTTCTAAGCGTCGTGAGCGGTTGAAACTTGAAACAGCAGAGATTTGCCCCCATTAACAAGGTTATATTTGTCCATTAATCTACATCTTCATTGCATAAATTCCTCATTAATAGATTTCCTGTTTCCTTTATTACATAAATTCCTCTTAGACAATCATATATTTTTTGAGATACGAGAACTAATGGATCGATGCAATAAGTTAATTTTTTGTTCTTATTTTATTTTATTTATTCATTGATTCTGTCTGTAAGCAATGAGCAGATTAGTTGGGCGAATGACGATGAAGCAATGAAGCTTGAAATGGGACAAATTAATTGATAGGCATCAAATTTCAAAAAGTAAAACAATTTAGGGACTAAAAGTGCCATTTTTTCTTATTTAAATTTGCATCACATAGCAATACAATTTGAAAGTCGAAAGATCACAGTCATCAATTTGAAAGTTTAGAACTAAACGCAGCAAAATCACTATACTCGGATGACCACAAATGACCAAATATGACATTAACTCTTATTAATAATTACCTAACTTAAATATCAATTTTTATTTTAAATACAGAAATTTATAAAAAAATAAATTTCGTATTAAATTTTTTATATATGAAATTTAATAATATATTTTTAATAACATACATAATTTTAATATTTCAAATATTTAGTCCGTGCATCGCACGGGTAATATACTAGTAACAATAGTAAAGTATCATTTTAATTCTATTAATGTTCATTTGA